GATGGAGATTTGGGGGCTTTGGCTCACTCTGGGGCAGGAGGAGGGGTATGGAGGGGGCAGGCATGTTCCCTGCCTTCATTAAGATCCGAGGCTTTAGCGCAGTTCTGCTGCCGGGCTGCTAAGTCAGGGCTTCACGCTTTCTAATTTTTTCTTTTGTCTTGCATACACACACGAGACAGATTTTGCTTCCACAAGGGATATTTATAGGACATATGTTGGAGCTTGAAGAAGCTGATTAGCGATGTTTAGCTTGAAAACGGAAGAAACTGCATGAGAGGAGCCTGGCCAGACAAATACTACAGAGGATGTGAGCTTTGGGGAGCAGCTCTGAGATGTGGAAGGTTAATGACTCAAACAATGCACCATGCCCAAAGCGTCAGGTGCCAGGTTTGCAGCCCACAGCCAAAGGGAAGAAGGGAAGGGTTTGGTAGCTAAACTTCTGATTTGCATCAGAGCAGCCCAGGTTCAGAGGGGGTGAGCACCCACCACTGCACACTGACCACGCCAAACCAATTTTGTTCGGCAACAAGCTGGGTTTGGAGCCAGATAATGGAAAAGGCTGTTAAGAAGCAGATGCTATGAGGTGGGATAATGCTTTTTTTTATCAGGGCAGTGTCCTCCCTTGCACAACCAGCTCAGGTGTAGAACTCTGCCTCCCCAGGGAAGGAATCAGGACATTCACACATGAGGGGTTTCATCCCTGCTGAGGGGGCTTGAGAAGCAGCTCTCATGTTTTTAAAAGGGTAATAAATCATCAAAGACCCCCAAGCTCCCTGAAGAATTATTCCTGGGGCCTTGCACTGGGGGACTGCACAAGATCCACAGTGTTGTAACACTCAGTGTAAAGCTTCCATCAGGGGAGGTACCTGGACATTCCCACCTGAACCTGAGCCTTTATCAGCACACTGAACTCTGGGATTTGTGGGCTTTCCCCAGCCCCAACAGATCAAGACTGACACCATCACTTTGAACAGCAGGCATCTAAATTGCAACAATCCAGTCTTGTCACTGGATCCCTGGGTGCTGAAGTCTTCCTGCTATCTCCTTTTATCCCTTCTTTCTCTCTCTTTCTTTTCCTTATACATTTTCTTAAGTGATAACTTTCTACTTTTATATTGCTGTATTTTTATTAATGATAACCAAAACAGCTTCATATCCCCTTTCCATTGCAACCAAATTGTTTTAAAATAAACCACTCATACACATATACACATAAAAACACGGGTCATTTAGTGTCATTTCACTCTGATTTGCCCCAAGGGTCCTGTTAACAAGAACCTCAGCTCATTTTCAGCTCCCTCCCTCCCTCCCTGGGAGTGTCTGAGACCACTGGGCTCCTGGGGCTGGGGATGTGAGGTGGGCTTTGCCTCCCCTACTTGGGGAAGGACTCTGGAGACAGAGGCAGCACAGCTGCCTGGAAAAGTGAGCAAAGCTGGCTGACATCCTCCAGTCAGGCAGACCCTGCAGTGGGAGGCTCTGGGGGTTTGGGTGACTCTTCTGGGCTCGCAGAATGGACTCACAAAATCCCATCCAGCTTTTCCCCATCTCAGCCCACCCCTCCTGCTCTCCTGACTCGTGATTCTCTTTCTGTGGGTCCAGCCTGGAGCCGTGCCTTGTAGACAATCTGGTTTAGACCATTAGAGGAGTTTGGGGCGGTGGGGGATGCTTTCCGAGGGGAATGCAAGTCTCAAGAGAGCTGCTCAGTGCATACAATCCCCGGGGTGCTTTCCAGAATCCTATTCCCTGTCAGCACTGGTCTGAAAAACGAAAGGACGACACTATAAGGAGGCAGAAATTGCATTATACTCCTCTGTGCTTCACAAGCTCCAAGTAACACTTCTGCTTCTCCCGTCTGAAAAGGAAAATGGGTAATGACAACCTACTTCTACTGAAGAGACAATTTTCACTCCTCCTTGGCAAGTGTAGCTGGGACAGTGTCTTTCTCTCCACTCAGAGGCAAATTAACAGATTTTGCCTCAGAACACGGTGGATGAAGTGCATCTGGCAGCGTTCCCCTGCTGTGGCTCACAGCACCCTTGGGGTGCCCACACCTGGCCCAGCTCACAGTGGGTGAACACACGGGGGCTGTTATGGACAACTTGTGAAGTGCAGACCCGATTGCAGGGGAAAAAACCCTCTTTTCTCCCCAAATACAGGCCTGCACGAGCCTCTGTGCACCACAGCACAGCAGCCAGCCCCAGCCAGCGCCTGCAGCTTTGCACCAGCATCAGGAACTTTACTCTCTCGGAGCGATGACTCTGAAAAGAACAAGTTAGACAAATTAATTCGCTAATGACTTCCTTCCCTCCTACTTAAACGGGGGGGATAATTCATGGTTCCTGCTCCCGCAGCAGCGGGGCTGCTCCACCGCTTGCCCGTGGCAGGCTGAGAGGATGAGTGAGACAAAGGGGGCCAAGATTGCCGAGTGGCACCGCCCGCCTTTCCAAACGCCACAAAAACGCTGTGCTGGCTGCTTTAGGGAGGAACGGAGTGAGTGCTGCACGTGTGGCTGGGCTGGTGACAGGCAGGGCTCTCCAGAGGGCAGCAAGGATGCACACGCTCTGGCCAGGGATCTCCTTCCCTGAGAGGTTTCTGCTCCAAGCATCCCAAACCAGCCCCTAACCCAAATGATTGCCTGCATAGAAAAGCTCTGCCTGCACACCTGCTTTGGTGCTGTGGAAAGCCTCAGCTCTCCTTTGATCTCTTTTGTTTCTGGAAGGTTCTGGCTGGTGATGATGCAATGTGGAATTGAGGCCAGAAGCTTGAGGAGAGGTTCAGGACCAGAGGAAGGCTGATGATGAGGGCAGAGGGCCTTTCTGTGCTTGCAGTCACTTGCCTGACTGAGGTGTATAAATTAGAACAGATATTTATAGGAAAAATTCAGAAGCTCAACCCTGGCACTGCCAGGCCCCAGATCCCCAGCATGGTCCTCCCTGCAATTGTCCCCTAGCTCCACACACTTGGCACAAATGGGAAAATAATATTTTTTTAAGTGGGGCTGAGTTAAGAGGATTTATTTGAGATACAAGATAGCTCCCATTAACGTTTGCTTGTTTGGGTTTATTTAAGCCTTAATTGAGTGTATTTTATTTAACTGCGTTTCAGTATCTCTCTCAGCCTCTTAAGAAACAATCACATGCTCTTCCCTTCTTCTCTCTCAAGATCTTTTATGTTAGTGAGCTGAGTTTAATGGCTGATAAAGTCCATGGGCTTGCAGTAAAGCTGAGCCTTCTTTCAAGTCCCTGCACATGCAGCCCCAGGAAGGTGTGCCCAGGTCAACCCTGGGTTTTGTTACGTCTCTGTGCCTAAGCTGCCTTAATTAGCAGCTGTGAGCATTGTGATCATGGGATTTTTGGTAGTGAACACCCTGGGGCTTGAGGCTCCTTCCCTCCTGGAGGCAGATTTTACAGAGCCACAGCCAGTTTGTAACTGCTCTCACTCCAGGAGGCGAGGAGGGGACAGTGGCACCACTGAGGGTGGGATTGACCGGTGGCTGTGAGGGAACCAAGCCCTAACCACCCTGACAGGTGAGGATGGTGCTTAGTGAAAACCAAACACATCCTGGCCATTATTCAGGTACTTTTGTAACCTTGGTTCTGCCTCAGCTGGGGTGGGAGATGTCTGTTCCCCAGGCAGCTGCCACCTCCCAACATAAGCTGGTCCACAGTTCAGCCCCTGACATTTCATCCTTCCCACATGAGGCTCCTTCTGACCCGGAGCCCAGCTCCAAGGGAGGAACGTGGGTGTTTGGATGCTGAACTACAGCACCTCCAGCAGCAGCTGGAGCCCATCCAGCGGGAGCACACTGAGCAGCAGGGGCTGACAAGGTGTCCAAGGGACGGTGCTGACCTTCCATCCAGCCGCCCTGCTCACAGGAAGATTTTCTCTCTGAGGAATAAGTTTCTCTGGAGGCAAAAAAGAAACACAGTGAGTCAGAAAGGCAGCAGAGACTCATCTTTACACAAGCCTTGCTTTCTGCTGTGACTGTTCAGAGCCGAGCAAGCCGTGGTCACTGGCGTGCCCCTTCCTTGCAGGTGGTTTCCCTGGGATGTGTCCCTGGGAAGGGACACATCAGCAGTGCTGGCTCTGTGCACCATGCTTCTGCTCCTCGCTCATACCCAGGAGCAGCTTTGAAGAATCTATCCCCAAATGCACACAAAAACTTATTTTATTGCAGCAGCTGAACAGAAAAGCAGCTCGGCTTTTGAGAGACACACTTTTCTTACAGTACACCAGGAATAATGTCGCTCCTTACTGGCAGCACCCCCGGAAAGAGAGAAAACGCATCAGGCTCTGATGAAACACCTCCCAAAATAACCAGCGCCTCTCCCCGCACGCTCCCCTTTGTGCTCGGTTGTCTTTGGGCGAGCACGGAGCACGAAAAGCACTTCCAGCCGAAGGGAATTCGGTGGAGGCTGCGTAGCTCTCGGTGCGGGGGCCAGAGGCGGCGGTGGCGGATCCGCGCTCCCGCTGGCCCGGCATTGTAGCTGCGGGCCAGCTGTGCAGACCGGGATGGAAACTCTCCCAGGGCTGGCTCGGGATGCCCGCTCCGGGAGCAGGATGCCCGCTCTGCCGGCTGGTGGAGCCCGCTGCAGAAACAGCCGGGCCCGCTCCACCGAGCAGCGGCCCGGGGCTCCCCGGGGCTGCCGAACTGCGGGGGACCCCTCGCCCTGCCCGCAAAGCGCGGACTGAACCCGCACTCCCCTGCTGCCCGCTGGGCGGGGACGGGCTGTACGGGACACCGGGGCTCCGCGCGGCGACACCGCGGTCCCGGGGCGCGCTGGGCCAGTGCCCACCGGCGGAGCGGGGGCTTCGCTCCCCGGGGCCGCCGGCGAGCGGCTGCTCGCGGGGTCCGGGGAAAGAAGCTCTCCAGCGGGGGAAAAGGCTGCCGGAGCCGGCGTCCCGGGCAGGGACGGGCCGTTCCCCGGCGGGGTCCCGGCACTGCCCGGCGATTCCCCGCGGAGACGGAGTCGCAAGCGGGTCTGGCCGCGGGTGCCGAGCCGGGTAGCCCCGCCGGGCCGGGCCGGGCCGGGCCGAGACGTGACGATGTGGATGCGACGGCTCCCGGGAAGCAGGTAGGAGCGGGGAGCGATGGCCCCGCGAGCCGGCGCTTAGGGCATCCCGCCGCCGGGCGCGCTCGGGGAGCGGCGGAGTTAAAGCACGAACTTGGAGTGGGGAGTGGGGAGAGGGCTGGGGAGCGGAGCGGGGTGCGGGATGGAGAGCGGTGTGTCGAGCGGAGCGGGAAGCGCACGGTGCAGCCGGCGGCTGCCGGCGCCCGGGGAGGCGGCCGGTCCACGCTCCGCGCCGTGCCGGGCTCCCCCCACTCGGTTCCCCCGCCCCGCTCGCCCGCCCTGCCCAGGAGATGGATCCGCGGTCAGCGTCCCCTTGCCGGCTGCTCGTTCCCCCCCTGGCCGCCCCGGCGGGGGCCGCTCGGGGGAAGGGGCTGGGGGGGCGTCCGGGCTGCGGGCAGATGGATGGATAGACGGATGGATGGATGGTTGGATGAATGGATGAACGGATAGATGGATGGATGTGTTTGGGAGATTAATCGAGAATTGCAAAGCGGAGGAGACGGAGGCAAAGTGTTACGTAACACATTTTCATTACCGCTGCGAAGTCATCTGAGCCGAAATCTTGTTATTTCTATGGTGCTGTGGCTGGAAAGCCCTGGCCCCGGCCCCTGCCTGTGTGCGGCCCCGGAGCCCCAGCAGTACCTGGCTTTTGGTGGTTTGAGCCCATCTCAGTAGCATCGAGTGAAAGCAGCAGCGGGTTAAACAAGTGAGACCCTAAGGAAAAGTGAAATCCACAATCTGTTTTGTTCTCCCCAGCCGGCTTTTTTTTTATTTCGAAAGCCCTGGGTTTGAGCGGTTGTGTTGTGCAGGGGTCAAACCCCAAACCTCCCTCCACCGAGCGGGACGGTGGATCCGGCACATCACCTGCTGCTGGGGAGAGGGGTCCCAAGGCGAGCAGTCCCGAGCGGCCACCCCACTCCCGCAGCTCGCAGCGGGCCCTGTGGCTGCTCCCTGGGGAGCGGGAGGGCTGTGTGGGCAGGGGAGCTGCGGGATGAGCGGATGGTGGGTGTAGCCCCCACGCAGCACCTCGGGGAGCCCATCAGCCCGCGCCGCCCCCCGCGCCCCTGCGCTCTGGCAGAACATGGCTGCAGCCATGGGGCACGGAGGGAGGCAGGCAGGGCCCCCCGAATCCACGGACGGCGAGTGGTGATGCGAGAAGCCTTTGTCTGCCACCCGTGGGAATCGCTGGAGGCTTTGTCCCTCTGTCCGGGCTGTGGATGGAGTCCTGGAGGGTGAAACCTGAACTGAGGTTTTGTCTGTGCTGAGCAGCTGGGGGAGGCCCTTGGCCTCTCTTTTACACTCCCGTGCCGCGCCGCATATTCCAGAGGCACGTGGCGAGCTGGCTGCCAGTGCCCCCCTTCTTTGTCCCGTGCCTCTGGCTGGTGCACCCCGACAGCCCGGGCACACGAGCACCTTCACGCTGCCGCTGGAGATGTCTGTCTGTCCGTCCGTCAGCTGAGGATGCGCTGCTGCGTGCGGGAAGGACGGAGTCTGTGGTGATGTAGTGACCTTAGGAATTCCTCCCGGCGAAAGCACCGGAGGGTTTTCTCAGGGTGCCACGCGTTTGGATTTATTTCGTGTCAGGTGAAAGCCCAGTGGAGCTGGAGGGCCGTTTCCCGAGGCTGGCGCGGCAGAAAGCTGTAATCCTGGGAACAGAGGACGCCCTCTGCTTTGTTATTTTTGAGGAGAGTTTAGCAATGGAAACAGGAGCCCTCTGCTTGCTTCCCTCCTCGATTCATTCGCCTTGCGAATTTCTGTGCTGTGCATCCTGGATCCCCAGCACCAGGCTGTCCTTTCTGCCACCTCATCAGCTTCCAGTCCCTCCGCGTTTTATTTTTAATAAGAGATAACTTTACTGCTAACCTTGCCTGCTGCTCTCCCTTCTCTCTTACTCTAATTGCTTCTGGCTTTATTTCTGACATTTCCCATGTCATTTCTCCTCATTTTCTCGAAGACTACTAGAAAAATAGCTTCAGGAGAAGCAGTGGAGCTTTGCAGCGCCCGTTTCACCCCGTGCAGCCTGTGCCTGGAGCGGCTGCCTGCGGCGGGGAGATGGCACCGTGCTGCTCCTTTCAAGTCGGATCCCTTTCGCCCGGGGCGGTGGCAGTGCCTGACCTCGCGGTGAGCTGCGCTCCTCTGCCGGGGAGGGCAGGACCTTTACAACTGCATTCTCAGAATTATCCGATGAAGGGGAGCTGCCGCTCCCCGCTTCGGAGCGGGGCTGAGCGAGCAGCGCTGCCCTGAAAGCCCCCGCGAGGTCCCAGCGATGCTCCAGCCCCGCTCTGCTCTTGGCAGGTGTGGGTGTTGCGGGGCAAAATCTGTTCTTTTGGGAGGTGGCAGTGGCTCTGTCACTCCCTGAGTGTGCACAGACATACGTGTGCGTGCACACGCCTGCGTCAGTGCCTGCGCCCGCCTGCGAGGGCACGGCAGCTTTCTGCAGCGTGCCAGGCTTCCAGCGCTGCCGAGGACTTCCCCTCCACAGCTATGAATATAATGTTTTAAACAATATGCCACGGTTTTTACAGCGTTGAGCTCTGGAGTGATTTGCAGTAGGAGTAAAACCACCGTTTGCAATTTCTCGGCGATTGTATAAAGCAACTCATTAAAAGCATACATCCTTGCACATTGGCTCCGTGGAAACTTTATGGGCCTTGTACTTACTGCCAAAGCAAACAATTTCCATGAATTTCACCCATCAGGTTCACACTGTCAAATGTAGATTCAGCCGCTCGTCAAAGATGCAAGCCTTGCAGTCTGGGAAGTAATGAGAGCAGTAAGCAGTGGGAGTTAATGGCCTCCACTGAGGAGTCCTTACTCATCCTGCATCCACACAGGGGCTGAGCTTGCTGCTCCCGGGTGGATTGATTGCCACAGAAATTCATCTGGTGTCACTGGCTATGATACTTAACAGGCACAATAATGCTTGAATAAACTGCACTTTTATGCAGCGGTTTGTACCTCCACGCTGGCAGCAATTTCCCAGATGAGGCGAGGGGAGCGGCGCAGGGCTCCGGCAGCCGCTTTCCCAGAGCGTGAATAATTGTTCTAATAACACCGGGGCCGCCGCCTTGCCGTTGTGGTGTCTCCAGTGGGGTGGCAGGTGGGAGTTGTGGTGGTGCTGCCGCTTGCCTGGGATGCTTGGGGGCTGCCCCGTGTGGCAGCTGCTGTGCCAGCCTTCGGCAGGCGGGACACGGGACGGGCAAGCTGCCGGCCCAGCTGCTCCCGTGGCCGGAGCACCACGGCTTGGCTCTGGTCATCTGCTGGAAAGAAGGAGTTGCTAATGTTCCTTCAGAGCCCAGAGTGAAACAGGGAAAGGCAGCCAGGCAGAGGAGAGATCTCCAGCCGTGTTCCCACATTCCCTCACCCAGTGTGATCCTCAGGCTGTCCCAGCATGCCTTATTTACCTCAGTGTAGGTATGGATGGATACAGGCTCCCAAGGGCAGCTCCATAGGGTGTGAATAAGCCGTGGAACTTCCAGCAGCTCTGAGGTTTATTATGAAAATATATGCATGCCTAAGCTTTTAAATATAGCTAATGGGAGAAGTACTGGGAGGAAAGATTACCAAGATTACTGGAACCTCAGTGTGCTGAGCAGGAGCTGCTCTGCTCTGGGTTGTGGTGCCTGTTGTTCTCCTTGAAGGCTGGTGGTGTCCAAGTGGGCAACAACAGTTCAAGCCCAACAGAGTTTGGGTTTGATAGCAACAGTCTTCTAGCAGGATAATTCCTGGAGGCTGAGTGTGTTGGGTGGATCAGTGGATGGTGTGACATTGTTGGTGCTTTCACCCCCTCCTTTAAAACAAAGAGGTTTTACTTCTGTTCTTCCTTCCATCTTTCCTCCCTTCCATCTTCCTTCCCTCCCACGTTGGGTGGTGCTGCTGGGAGGGGGTTCCTGGCACAGACCAGCATCCCAGCAGTCACTGTGGGTTATGCAGGGCTATTCCCAAACCTGCTGCTTGGCCCTTCCTTGCCTTGGCTCACTGTTTTCGTTAGAGTGATATTTTTCACTAAAAGAATGCTAAACTCTGGACCTGAAGTGACTCCTTAAAAATGGAATTTGAATTGATATGAATATTTCCTGTGGCTCTTCTTTACTGGGACTTGCACCTACAGACTTTGATAGCTTATATAATTTCCTGTGATGGAGATGTACTTCATCTAATTTCACTTGGAAATGCATTGATTAAATCAGAACTGCTGAGAGATTTAAACTGAGTCTCAGTGGCCTGAACTTAACTGTGGGAGGTTTACCTGCCTTCATCCTTCAACATTAATTTGGTTTTATGAGGATTCCTTGTGAAATGAGTTTTTGTCTGCTGCTGAATCTCTTCTGCTTTCTGGGTTTATCAGTTACTTTCTCTGGCCTTGGTGGCTCTGCAAGGCGAAGCTGCACTAAAGCCTCCGTTCAGTGCAGCGCTGAGCTCCTTCACTGGGGACACGGTGGGGACCAATGTGCATTTTGGCTCCATCACCCCCAGTGCTCCCAAAACTCTGCCCAAGCTGGAGGCAGAGTGCCCACACTGCCTGTGGTGTGGTGGCAGGGCTGGGTGCTGTGCCGTGGGTGCTCACATGGGGCCAGGGATGCTGGGTGTGATGCTCCAGGAGCAGGGTGGAGACCTCCCCAAGTGCAGCTGTGTGGGAGTGTCCTCCCATCAGTGCTGAGAGATTTGGCATTCATGGTCCCAAGCAACACCCAGAAAAGGAGGAACAACCCAGCTTGGTTGGAGGTGGATGAGCAGCTCCATGGAGATGAGCAGGGGTGGGGTCAGCAGGCGCTGGGTGCCTGGGGCAGGGGGCCAAACACCCACTGTGACTCGCCTGAGGACTTATAGAAATAAATAAAGCCAGTCATTCACAAAGTGCTCATTTCCAACTCCGATCTGCAAAATGTCTCCTTGTGACTTGGAAATGATGTGTAGGCAGGAGATACGCTTTGACATGCGATGATTTTTGTTGAAGTTTGCTCTGAAGGTCTTTCTCAGCAGCTCCGCTTTCCTGGCAGTGC